TTTGTCAAACACATTTTTTTTTTTGGAGTTTTTTGTAATTTTTTTATATTATATATATAAAAAGTTGGAAAAAAAGAAAAAAAAGGAAATGATAAAAATACAATAGAAAATAGATAAAATATATGTAATAAGAGAAAAAAAAAAAAAAAAGAGATAAAAAATGAAAAGAAAATAAAAAATAAAAAAAAATATCCAATAAAATATAAATGAAAAAAAAAAAGGAAAAAAATTCTATTTACAAATTCCATCAAAATGGAATAAGAAGGAAAAAATCTATTTTTTTTGGTGGGTAAGGTAAATTTTCTTTGGTGCAAGTTTAGAAAAACCGCACGCGTTTTTTTTTTTTTGATCCCTTCGAAGGTCTGGGATACTGAAATTTCCGATAAGTTAATACCGAAAATGTTCGGGGAGAGTGATTTTCATTGTAAGGTTCTACACACGAGAGTGAATGAGGGTTAGAGAAATTTGTTTCGTGATTTATATAACAATAAAAAGATTTTTTTAAAAAAAAAGAATGAATCAAATATTTACCTTTTATTTTCGTCTCGGAGACGGAGAACCAAATAAAAATAAGTAAGTCTATGTAATTGAAAGTATTGAATTGAGGGTAGGAACGATCCCAAAATTCGGCATTTGAAGTATCTATGAACGGATACATATTTTAGCCATCAAAAAAGATCTATAAGAATAAGCAAAGCTCGAGGTTAGTATACATGATTTTCAAATGACGTGCCGAAAAATAAAAAAGGTCACACAAACAAAAAAATACCTACCGAAAGGTTAAAAACAGGGAACCGTAAAGTCGGAAGTCGGAAATTGTGACACGTGATCGCTCGAATAGAAGTTTCGATGGGAAAAAATGTTGGCCTTCCTTCGCCGGGATTTTATTCAAGTATTTTAAAAAAGTCGTTTGAATAAAAGACTCGAATGAAACCGACTCCAACAGAATTGACGCCTTAAAACATTATTCGCACGTGGTACATGTCATAACAATATGATGTTTCAAAAGATGTTTATGAAAAAAAAAAAGAAAAAAAAAACGATATAAAAAATTCGCAAATAGGATTAATCAATTCGAATCATTCACGACATTGAATGAAGGGAATTGTTAAAGAAAAACGTAATTAAAAACGAAGTTTCGTAAAGAACGGTGCTTTAGGAGGAGGGGGAGATGGTACGTGTGCTGTTTCTGAGTCAAGACGAAAACGTAGAAGAATTGAAAAAAAAGGTAAAAAAGATAAAAAAAAAAAAAATAAAAATAAAATTTCGGAATCGTTGAATACAAAAGTGCCGAATTAAATAAAAAGAAAAAACGTAAGTCATAGAAGAGGCGAAACTGTATACTGAAAAAAAAAAAAAAAAAAGAATAATTCTTGTGTGTGTGTGTGTGTATACTCTGTACAGTTTTTTTTTCCTTTAATTTTTTTCAAATTTTTTTCTCTGAATTCAAGGAAATGAAAAAAAATATAAAGACAAAAAGACGAAATAGTATATAAATAAAAAAGGAAAATAAAAAAAAAAAAGCGTTTTCGCAATGACTCAGAAACCACACACGGTGGTAAAGTTAAGTTATACGATTCATTATAGGAGAATAAATTCCCATGGTAATCGGGAATCCCTGTTTTTTTTTTTTATTTGGGTGAGGAGTTATTTTTGAAATCCTGAAGAAATCTTGTGTCAAAAAATCACCTCGCTTTATATAATGTCAAAAACGAAAATGTCGCACGAGAAAATTTCGGTATCAGCCAAATCTATTGAGAACGATTGACAAGAAATCGTATTAATTTGTGCTCATTTTAACGATAATTGATAAAAAAATTTTAATTATTGTTGTTATCACTTTGAAACAAACACAACATCAAGTTGTAACATCAAAAACAAGAATTGTAAACAAATTGGGGTGATGTTCTAAAATAACTGTCAACTTCTGTCAAATAATAATGGAATAAGCTTCGGATATGCTTATTTTGTTTTACATTAAAATCATAATATTTATGGAATCATTTTATTTTTTTTTAATTTAATGTTGTCCAAGCGTTTATATTTTGAATATGTCAAAAAAATGTAAAGACAATCGCATCACAAAAACTTATTATATCTGGTGTATTTTTTTTTTTTTTTTTTTTTTTTTTTAAAAAAAAACCCCTCAATTCTTACCTACTAATAAACAATAGGAATCATTGTCCTTCAGGTGTTTCTCCACACAAAAGATTTGGAGACGTCATTGTGCGGAGTCAAAACTTCCCAAATTGTCAAGTTTTTGCATGCGGGGTAGAATGACACCTTGACGATTGGTCATGATGGATTTACGCGGAACTCGATTTGATTGATTGCAGGTTTATTATGCTTTCCAACTTTTGGTTTTTCATGTGTTGTGACATTTGGTTTCTGCGAAAATAGCTTAATTAAATCTAATAGGCAAAGAATTATTATATCACCCACGCTTTATCAAAAAACATTGTCGTCATTTCTTATTAATTCATGACGTTACAAATTCTAACAAAAAAAAAAAAAAAAAAATTAAAATAAACAAAAAGAAAAAGAAAAACAGAATCACATCAATGAAACCTAACAAACTTTTACGCACAGTTCACGTTTTGAGCATTATCTACCCGTCCATTCCGAAATTTCCCTTGCGAATGGACAATCCTCCGCACGAATAGGTGTAGGGATCCTTTAAAAGTATAAATAAATTTCTTAAAAGAATTTTTATATTTGTATGTTGTATGATACGCCAATGATCTGAATTGACAAGGATAAGCGTGACCAAGACCCTTTGTGTTAAAATAAATTTTTTTATCCCCTAATATCAAGTTACATCTAATGTATCATGAAATGTTGTGACTGCCCAAAGAGTAATCTGAATTAGCACTTATTTATCCCCTTGGTCCATTTTTAGAGGAATTCTTGTTTATAAAGTTTATACCTCGATAACGAATTTCATTCCAATCACGTACATGTGAAGAGATTCTTATCTTTCCAAAAAAAAAAAAAATCAAGATAAAATTAAATAAAGGAAAGCATTATGAAATGAAAAAAAAATGTTTCATTGTTGAATATCCTCAAATAGTTGAACGTTGATTTTACACGAGAACTATAAACAATGGTTACTTCTGCATCCCTTGTAACATTAAATCAAGAACATTTTGTCTTCATTACAAAGAATTGATTCCTCGACATCTCTGATATGCAAATCATCAAAGACACGCATATGAATGAATTAATCTTAAAACGCCACAAAAAACAATACCAATAATTCTCTTCCGAATGAGCTAGAATTAATTTGACAGCAAGTTTGACATCTTCAACGTCTTCCAATGCATTTCTCATTTTATCAAAGAATCCATTACAAGCAACTAATTCTCTTATCTTTTTTTTTTTTTTTTTTTTTCCTCAATTTTTTTTTTTTTTTGACAGGTTAAAATGAAAAACGTATTTTCCATTATGATTTTGCTTTTGACGGATTCGGAAGGTGACACCAAGCGGTGTAAACCCTTTATTATTGATTTGACATGCAATCACATATAATTTAAGCAAATATTTGTTACAATTTTTTAAAATTGACATACTTGAATAATTCAAAAAATTCAAAAAAAAAAAAAAGGAACCCCAACTCGAATAAAACAAAAAAAAGAGAAAAAAATTTTTAAAATTAAAATAACATTTCACTATTTCAAACTCGGCAAGAACGAATTTTTTTTTTTTTTTTTTTTTTTTTTTTGCATGTGAAATATTTTTTGTATTGGGAAGATTAATACCTCAAAAATTACAAAGGTTTTCGCCAAACAAGAGATTCAAACTTTAAAATATTTAGGAAGGTTACAGACCAAATATGTGAGATGATCATTCTTTTTTTGTTTTAAGTAACCGGGTTCACACAAGATACAACAATGTTACCAAATCAAGGGTTTTCCTTTTCCGATCAAAGGGTATAACACCATTTTCAGTCATAAAGAAAAATAAATGGTCAGAACTCTATTGTATAAAAATATTTATTTATAATTTCCAATATAAATCATATGTGTTAAAAGTGCACAGACGATATTTATAAAATAAATAAAAAAACTCTAAAGTATGACTAAATTCATAATTAGAAGGTTTTTTTTATTTTAAAAAAAAATAAATAGATTTCGGTTTTGAGAATGAAAGGAATGAATAAAAGAGGATGGGCTAATTCTCATGTGAATATCTATTGATTGATATAAATCGTTTTGTTTATTACATGAATTGTTTAATCTACATTAACACTCTTCTTTCATTTATTTATATACACTTCTTTTATTTATTTGTGTCTATTTTGTTAATATATTCCTTATGTGTACTGAGAAATTCGCCGAGATAATATATATACAATGCAGATTGATAAATATTTACACAACAACGAGATGAGTTCACCTGATTGGTTCACACCAATGAAAGAGTGTGGCTGCGGCAAGCCTACAAAAAAAAAGAGCACGATCTCAGATATATGACGTAGTACAATCACCCTATGACAAAATTATCCACCAACTTAGTCGCCTTCGTGGTGCAACCATTATTCATTGCGATGCAGCGTTGGCAAGTGCCGAGCACCGCTCTGTTTTCGGCGTTTTGAAAAACTGTGGGAATTTCAAAATCGTTCAAGAAAACAAAATGACGAAAAGTTGTTGTTTCAAATTGTTTCTTTTTAATGGTTTGACGTGATACATCGTAGTACTTCCTCCCACATTTTTAATATTTCTTTTTATGGAAATAAATGTTGTTGTATAAATAAGCTCTTTGTTTTCACAAAAGAGATTATCAATTTCTGGCGTAAATACAGAATTGGCGCATGTAATTGGTCTAAACATGTTTCTTTCTACTTGAAACGTATTGTAATAAAAAGAAAATGGTTAACAAAAATGGTTAAAGAATGGTTTTTATTTCAACGATTGTTCAAACTCTTTTTTTTTTTTTAATATTGTGTTCGGACCTAATAAATGATTATACTATTACTATGTCTGGAAGCCATGACGTTCGTGCTAAACAACGACTCTATCTTGATTAGAACCAAATTTCTGTTTCAAGAATTCAACTTCACGTTTTAACACTCTCTCTTGTGAATCAACCCTATTAATAATCTCATCTACGATAATTTTATTCTCAGGTGTTAATTCATTATAGTTGATGGTCTGACCCACTTTACTCATTTGATCTAATATCGTCCCAAGTTGATTCGGTAACCACGTTACGATAGGTGAGCCGCTATTAACACACGATCATGAATGGTGTGAGAACTGCTAAAACTGCATTGACAAAAGTGAACTATTATGTCGGAACTTACCCTGTCGCTACCGGATGCATAGTGTTTTTTATTATGTATTCTTTCGTAAAGTTCCAATGTCTATGACGAAACGCTCGGATTTGATCCATATTTGCCAGATATAACGCTGAAATATTTTGTAAACGAGTTTAAATGTTCGAGTTTCGTGCGAACAAATAACATTAAAAAATAAAGAAAAAAGTTACCGGTGCTATTTGCATCCTACAATTTATTTGGCCAAAAAAAAAAAAAAAAAAAAAAAAAAAAAGGAATTAATTTAAAATTATCAAGATTCGTAAAATCAATCATGAATAGTTGAAGTTTAATTACGTGAATAGCAAACCCACGAACGTTCAATTCTTCAGCCTTTTTTTGTACAAATTCTAAAAATTCCTTATGATTCGTAGGACGATATCTTCTAAAATCTTTTAACATTTCAGTTAAAGGATTATTTGGTAATTTCGAAGTTATTTGCAAGAGATTGTCCATACACGGAATCATCGAATCATTTGCTCCGGATTCTCCTATGTAAATAAATTATATAATGTGAAAAGTTGGCGTGCTTGTATCACGAGAAATTAAATAAACTAAAGAAACTAAAGAAAAATTTTGAATACCTCGATAGAATAATGGTTTTTCACTTACACCTTCATAAACCACACCTAACGACCGAGAAACAAAGTGATCAGCCAATCAAACCTCATTAAAGAATTTCCATTTTATTTTTTTTTCCCTTACCATTTGGAAACATTGGTTGGTTTTTCGAACCCATGATAAATGTCCGAAATTTCAAATAATCCATCGAATTTGAACGTTCCCACATCGTATCCATCTCTTGATTAATTAGAGTCATGGTATCATTCAAATGCTTTAACGCATTATTAAATTTAACGCGATCCTATATCAAGAACATTATGAAAAAATTTTAAATGTTTTAATAATGAAATGACGAGATAAATATATATATATTACTTGTTCCTGAGTTGCTTCAAGTGTTTCCGTCGCATGTTTCACCAAATTTCCTGAATGTGCTACCATAGCAACGTGCACCAAGATGAACCCATGTTCTGATGGTGTTCCAGCAAATGCACGGACTAGCTTTAAATTTGGATAGATTATCGGTTTCGACGGATCAATTCGTTGATAGTTATACAAACTACAATTCACAAAAAAAAAAAAATTAAAATAAAATTAAAAATATTCATTAGAAAGCGACAAAAAAGGAAAATCACGTGATCTACCTGTAAGAGAGCGCATATTCCATAAATGGGAAGGTGTGTAGTTTCTCTGCGACCGTTGCTAAAGGTATCGCAATATTTTTTGGTAGAACGCTACGTCCGAGGCCATAATCTTTCTTTTCTCGATACATAATATCGCATGGTTCAAGGAGGTATGCCGAGGTCAAGAAAGTATAATCTCTAAATAAAGCTGTTTTGAAAAATTAATACCGCATTTTGAAGTGAGAAATAATTTTTGGGTTCATTTCCTTAGACTAACCGCATAAATGATGGTTCTCACTCACCAGAAAGCAACCTCTGATCATTAATATCAGAAACGTCGTACTGCGGCAAATCTTTTACAGCTTCACCTAATTGACCTTTTGACAATAAACCGCCTTCACCGTTTGGTAAATGAATTGGCATGTTTTGTAATAAATATTCAAGGGCATAAAATCGTTCTGGTAATCTGGCAAGCGGTTCCTTAGAATCACAAGATTAGATTTTACAACACCGAAAAATTTTTACTTCAATTATATTTTATTTTTTATATACCTGTCTCGGTAAAAATCCATTTTTATATCCAACCATGAAAGTGGGAAGTGAGGTGTCATGTTCCATATCATCTCGTAAGATGTTGAAATCATGAGGTTGAGCGTACATTCTTGATCGAGAAGGAGCGAAAGCACCCATCAACGTGGATTTATTTCTGAAAAGATCGAATTTTGTACGATGGATTCGATGATTTCGTGAAGCATTCCTAACCATTTCTTTAATCAGTCCCTGCATGTTTTTTTTTTTAAAAAAAATAATTCTAGGTAAAAAAATATGATATTGGAAAGAAGAGTATTTTATTATGGTTTTTTTTTTTTTTTCACTCAATCTTTTGGGCTATTTCATTTATATTGCAAAAAAAGATTGACTTTAGTTAAATGATTGACTTATAAAACGTACGATTAACCATTATTAAAATTGAACCGCAAAGTTGAAAAAATTTCAATTACGGAGTTCGGAAAAACCTTCCGCTGCAGCAATTTTTTTTTTAAAAAAAAAAAAAATTATATAATTTTCCTGATATATTCAAGAATGGTATTGTAGAGTAATATATATTAAGAATAGTTAATTTAAAAGTTCAATAACGCGTAACGGTGATCCGTCACAAGGGAAAAAAAGTAAGTTCAAAGCTATTGTTCTAAGGTTAGTCACAAGAACTTTAACAACATACCATAAATTTTGGTAAGTAAATTTTTCATAATTTTCTTCCCACGCACATACATGTACATTGAGTCACGCGAGAAAAATTATAAATTAATGATATCCTTGACCAAATAAATCAATGAATGAGACGATTTTAAAGGAAAAACAAAGTTTACTAAATCGAAATCAAAAAGTTTACTCCCGATAACCGATATAGCCATCCATCGTCATGAGAACGGAATATCTTCCTTGCTCACATGCTCGTGAGAAAATATAAAATTGGACAATCCCGATCATTCTTCGGGGACGGAGAATTCATTTTCAACGCAAATACCCCCTGAATTGATTTAATAGATATTCAATAACATTTTTCTTTTAAATTGAAATAGATTCAATCGTATGGCTTCATAAAATCTTCATAATCATAAATTAAATACAAAAGCATTTGTATAACCTTGGAACATTTTCATTTCTAATCTTTTTAAGAAAGGTGCAAGAGATATTTTCATATCTGCTGATATCGAGATTAACAAGCTGACATAATCTTTGTTCAAAAAGGGTTCGAACTATCCAAATGTACGAATAATATATTTATTTTATATTCCAAATTCAGTGAATATAGAATATAAAAATAAAGAGAAATAATACATACATGTATATATATGCATGATATTATATACATTCAATAAAGCTTATGTGGGTTATGATTTTTGACATAATCATTCTAATATATATACCTATATAATATATATACTGTATTTACGATGCTCCTAATGGTTCTCATGGAAAAAAAAATCATCTTTATTTACAAATTTTTTTTCTATAAAAGGTTTTACATAAATCAAAGCTCCGTTAACCAATTTTATTTTAGTCAAAGATTCAAATTTCACCTGTCATGAGTTATCCCGGCTTGGACCAAGAACAACAATGATGCTTAAAAGATTTACAATTTTAAGTATATTTTCATTGGATTTATCATCGCATCGATGAGATCATATGGGACCTTTGACAATAGAAAGGGGGGAAACTGCCGGAAAAAATTCAATTTGACTTTTATATGCCAAATATGATTTTTAGGTCAAAATATGTTTAGATTTAGCATTAATTTATTTTTATTTTTTCCAGCCGTTTCCCCTCTTTTCTATTGTCAAAGATCCCATATTTTTTTTTTTTTTTTTTTTTATACAAATGCCACTTTGAATCAGCCATGTTGTCGTTCGAGATAACAATTTTTGGGGCAAAATTTTTTAGTAAAGAACTCTTCTAATTTGATTTGCTTCTCAATAGTTCAATATTAAACGATTACAAAAAAACTTTTTTTTTTTCTTTATCACAAGTATAACGTTGGCGAGAAATTCGTCAGGCATAGTATTTTTTCCGATATATTTATTATAAAGTAACCCTTAACTATTTAACATTAAAAATAAAAATTGTTCACTTATCGTATTAAGAAAGCTGTACAATTAATCAATAGACTTATATGTCAAATCCATTGCTATTACTGGTGGCATCAACCGAAAAAAAAACGCATTGCTAAAAAGAGAATCATTTCTGGGAAAAAAAAACCATTTCATTTATATGGACTCAAAATTTATATTATCTATTTATTATAAGTCTGTTAAGAACAAAAAAAATATCATTTTTCTCGACCAATTAAAATATTTTCTACATTCTGGAGATCTTTGATTATTCAAGTGAACGCACAAGACAACCTTGAAGGTTCAAAATCAATATGAATAAAAATAGAATTCAATTATATATATATATATATATATTATTTGTTCCTCCTCCTCAAAATATAGGAAAGCTTTATTTTATGTGTAAAATAATCTGTACACGTGACAATAATGCGCGAACATTATCGAAATTTTTTTTAAAAAAGAAAAAATAAAGATTATATAATAGATGTTATTATCAATAAAATGAATATGGTATGTAAAAAAAAATTAAATAATGTATAATTGAAGTTTAATATACAACATGAATTAAATAAAATTTACAAAATAGAAAATAATAAAATTAACGGATAAATAAATATTTAATTAAGAAACCACTCGAATGTATCACCATATCACCAGTACTGCAAAATCTCATAAACTTCGGAGACTATTTCGGAACTCTCAATTTGCATCATTTCATATTTAACATTATAAGATCTGGTTTCTTCGGCCATGTATTTTTGTACCGCCAAATGTTCTCTTGGATCATTCGTCCTGGTAAATATTATTGTTGGTTCTTGCAAGCTTTCAAATCTTAAGAAACGACTTGTATATGACTCTTCAAAATGTTCATTTTTATCAATATTAAACCCGGATGAGATTGGTGATTGAATAGGGGTGTGGATTGGTGATTCAAGTTGATCAGGTGTATTTGATGTTCCGATTCCCTCGTTAATAGATGCTAACCTACGTCGTTCGGCTTCTGAAAATTGCTTGGAAATATCGGAATTAGGTACATTGAAAACATTACATAACCATCCTCCCAAGGTAACATATAATTTTTCGGCGGAAGGCCTTGTAAAAGGATCCAAATCCCAACACCTTTTCATTAGATCTAAATAGCATTCAGGTATTTCTTCAATGATTTCAGGGTGTACGCCATTAACAATATCTGTTGCTAGTTCCAAATCATGAGCTCGATCACCAAATGGTTTACGTCCGAATGCCAATTCCCACATGATGGTACCGAAACTATACACGTCGGCGGCTTTGGTATATGGTTTCGCTCTCAATATCTCTGGAGCGACATAAGGTAAAACACCAAAAGCTCCGCCCGTCGCATGGAGATTATCAGCCCTACGACATAGGCCCAAGTCACTTATTAATGTCATGGATGAATGTATCAAGATGTTCCCACAATGTAAATTTCGATGTACGAGATTTTTACAATGTATACGATTAAGCCCTGTCGCTATCCCGTACAAAATGTCTAATTTACGTTTCCACGTTATTCCCGTCGAATTCTTTTTCAGGTATTTTCTCAAATCACCGTTACGAGCGTATTGCACGACAACCATGAAATTTTTTGTTTTTGGACATTGTGTTATTCCGTAACATCTAATAACATAATTCCCGCTATTATTCTCGTAACGAAGATGAGCCCCCAGCTAAAGAAAGAAAAAAAAATAAAGTTTAAAAAAAATTTATAATAAAAAATAAGTTTTTTAATCATTGATCTTTTTTTTACCTCTTCAAAGAAATCCGGTGTGATGTGTTCCGAGTTATCAAAACACTTTAAAGCAATCCTCCATTCACCACAACGTACGTACTGCCCAGTCTTTTTATCCAATTTTTCCCTTGGACCGTCCAACCAAATAGCATGATAAACGCTGCCAAAACCACCCAAGCCTATTAATTGAACGTCTTTAAACCGATCAAAAGGGATCCATTCTAAATAATCAAACCGACTTTTGGCGTTTAACTGACTTTCTAAAATGAAACAATCTATGACATCATTCCCACTTGACCAAAGTTCAAATAAATCTTCGAATTTTCGATTCTCACAAGGTTGACACCATTGAGTGTAATAACCCCCTTCGGCAACCATTCCTTTACATGTCGGACAAGTCTTGGAATCTCTCTTATCTTGAATCCTATTTGACGATTTTTTAGGAATGGGAGGTTTAATGCTGGTAACCGTTGAAGTCGAAGAAATCGAGCCTTTCCTGTTACTATCAACATGGGATACCCCACTATCACGTCGTTTACTTTCTCGACCGGATCGTGAAAGATTTCCTTTAACAATCATGTTAACCAATTCCTCAGCTTCATTCGTTGAGTTACTATGACCGCTCTTTTGCCTCTTCATTTCTTCTTCTTTTTGTAACTCTTGAGCAAAGTAAGCTATAGGATTCCAACCTTCATCATCTATATAACTAGCATACTTGAAAGGATCAACCATCCCAAATCTCCTTGGGTCCACAGGTTTCTTGGTTGATGGGGGTAAACTACGATACTTTTTATTATCACGATATTTTAATGCCGATTCAAAATTTCGTCCCAGCGTATTCCTCCACGTATCTATTTCATTTGTTTCATGCGGTTTCTGCCATTGAATTTTTAATGGACGGCCATCCGAACCTTGTTGACAGTATTCATATTCCTCTTCGTTCTTAAAAAATTTTCGTTGATTGTTTTCAAAGAAAAAAAAAAAAGTAGGTAAATTAAATTTTTTTTTTTTTTAAAAAAAAAAGATAAAATATAAAATAAAAACCTTTCCGAACCACCGTAAAACTTTATTACGAGTCATAATAAAATTTTAAAAAATAATTGATTATTTATTTTTTTATTTTTTTAAGTTGTCATGAAAAGACGAAATAAGGAAAAAAAAAATTACTTTTCGAAGGTGGTTTACTAAAAAAACAAAATTATGGATTTTTATGATGTATATTTATAGGAGAGATATATATATATATTTTTTTTCCATCTTTTTTTTTTTTTTTATTTACGAAATGTGTGTCTATTTATACTTTGTGAATTTTTAAAAGTGAAGTGATTCAAAACGCCAAATGTCAACAAGTTTTAATCAATGGATGAACGATTGAATGCAAGGCTGATGCAATTTCATGTAAAAACCCTTAGATAGAAATGTTG